AGGGGTACATATCGCGGCGGCTGCCGCCGCGCCAGGCCGCTAATTTATATACGACAAGGCAAAGAATCTTGAAGTGTGCGTTCGTGGTGTAATGGTCAGCATGGGTGCCTTCCAAGCATTCGACGGGGGTTCGATTCCCCCCGAACGCAGATCTCTTTTTAGGAAAGGGGTACAGTAATCTGTTTGGTTAGCTTTCTAAAACTCGGCCGCCGTTGAGCCACCAATCATCCGTTCCAACTTTGAAACGGTTTCAATTAAAATTTTGATTATTTTTTAATCACTATCAGTGAGTCCTTTTAATACCCACCTCTCTCCAAGACGCTCCTTCGCATCATTGTATCCAACGGGCCAATCGAAATCCTTACTGAATGTTGAAATTTGAAAAAAGTAGCATATCAAATCGACCACTCACCTCATTTCGCCTTGTCAACCGAATACTCATAAATTGTCAAAAATGGTCTGATGAATTTTGAGATAAGGAAGAACGCGCCAGTCCGTCGGGAGGGCGGAGCTTTCGATTTTTATGATGCAGAGTCCAAAAGGACTGTACGGAAAGGAAGATCGCAGTGCATGCTTGATAATCAAAAAATTTGCCAACTGATAAAATGTTTGTCATTTTATCACCAATATTTGATAATTGTTTTATATCTTTTGCAAGAACCGAGATAATTGAACTCAAAGCCATTGGCCGGTGCGACCGCCTGGCTCAACCTGGTCATATACTTTTGAACTTAATTATCTCGCTTCCTGTAAGAGATATCAAAAATCTGTCAACTGATAAACTGTTGTTTATTTTATGATAAATGTTTTACTAGTGAACAAATTTTTGATACCTTTTATAGGGACCGAGATAATTAGCTCAAAGTGATTGTGGAGTACTGTCGTGCGATGAAGAGATGAACAAGGTCGAATGCACCTTATCCTAAAACGTGTCACGTGTCACATTACGATCTGATTGGACATACTCTGTGTGTAGAGAGTTTTCGACGGAAATCATTACAAATGAATGAGCCATTTTAATTGCTCATTGAGGATTCGAAATGGTTTCTTATCAGTTCAATGAAAATTGGTTTTTATTTATGCAAACATTTTTGATGTTTCCTTTTTTCACTTTGATAAGAAAACGAATTGGGAGAAAAAAGAAACGCAAATTTGAATTTCTGAATTTCTGAATTCCAGGATTTCAGTATTTCCGAAGTTTTCAATTTCAGGTTTTTAAATAATTTTTTGAAAATTTTGAATTTTGGAAGTTTTAATTTTTTGAATTTCTAGATTTTCTGATTTTGAAATTTCAAAATTTTTGGATTTTTTTTGAATTTCAAGAATCGAGAAATTTGGAATTTCTGGATTTTTTAAGGTTTTCGAATTTTAGGATTTTCGGAAATTGAGAAATTCAGAATTTACGAATTTTTGGAATTTTTTAAGTTTTTGAATTTTCTAAATTCTGAAATTGGTATATTCTGGTTTTTAAATTAAAAAAATTTTGAATTTCTGGATTTTTTAAAATTCGAATTTCAAAAAAAATTAAATTCGAGTTGCAAGTTTTTTAATTTTCGAATTTCTTGATTTTTTAAGAATGCATTTCGGAACTTCTGGATTTTTTAATTTCTGAAGTCCTGAATTGCTGAATTTCGAAACTTCTGAATTTCTGAATTTCTGAGTTTCTGAATTTCTGAAATTCTGAATTTCGGAACTTCTGGATTTTTTAATTTCTGAAGTCCTGAATTGCTGAATTTCGAAACTTCTGAATTTCTGAATTTCTGAATTTCAAAATTTCTGAATATCTAAACTTTTCTACTATTTTTTCCATCCATTTTTTAAAATTTTATTTTCAGCCAAAGAAAAATCACAGTGCCAATAATTTATTAGAAATCTTGTAAAAAAAAGATAAAAATCAAATTTTCATATTTTTGCAAAAATTCCGAATTAAAAAAAAAAGAGATGAAAATTGTGTGTCGATGTGTGCACGAAATCGATTGATCAGAAAGAGAAAAGGAGATCGAAATATAATTATCTGTGTGGCTTTGGCGGGAAAATCCAAAAATTTGAAAATTGCGATATGGGACAGGAAGGAGAAAGAGGAAAAAATTGTCAATAGAGCGAATTTTCAGAGTGAATAAATATAAAAATTGGGAAATTTTTTGATGGGGAAAAAGTGGGAAAATTGGCGGAAATTGGAAAAAAAAACTCAATTTTTCAGATTTTTTTTCAGAATCTTTTTTCAAATTGCCACCATTTTCTAGAAACAAAAAAAAACAAAAAATTTTAAGCATCAACAGTATTCGAAGTTCCCGGCTCATCTGAGGCTCCGCCCCTCTCCGTCATCGGCTCATCCGGTACCGCCTGTCTCTGCTGCGTTCGCATTTTTCGCTCCTCCACAAAATTGCGAATTTGTTTCAGTGTGAACGCGTCGACGAACGACTGGCCGATGGCGGTGACGAACGATTGAATCGTGCCGCCCATGATGACGTTACAGTAGGCAATGCAGATCAGGAGGACCAGGAATTGAACGGAGAAGACGAGGATGTAGAAGCCGCGCGAGTTTAGGGAGCTCTGAAATATTTGAAAGATTGATTTTGGAGTTTTTTTTAAATTTTGAGTTCGGGAACATTTCGAAATTCCAAAATTCCGAAATTTCAACTGTAATTTTTTTGAATTCTAGTCAATTTTCCTAGAATTTCATTGATAAAATTGACTTTCCCACCATTGATTTAGTCTAAATCCGGCGTTTGCGTACTTTTGAAGCTACAGTAACCCCAGAAAAATGCAAAAATCTTCAAAAACGAGCTGAAAGCTCTAGTTTTTCGGGTTAACACTGAAAATGCATGAAATTTCAGCCTAATACGAAAAATCCAGAACTTTCTAGCTTATTTTTCAAGATTTTTACATTTTTGGGGGTTACTGTAGCTTCAAAAGTACGCAAACACCGAATGCGAGCTAGAGAGCTGAAAATTGAAGTTTAGGCTAATTCAATGGTGGGAAACTCGATTTTATTAATGAAATTTTTCGAAAATCAACCGGAATTCTGTTTTTCGATTTTTTTCATTTAGCATTTTCCAAACTTCCTAAAAATCCCATTTTTCAATGAACTTGAAATCTCGAGAAAATTTCAGTGCTAACCCAAAAAACTTGAGCCTCTAGCTCATTTTGAAGATTTTTTGAATTTTTCGGGTTCTGAAAAATTTCAATTTTTTTGAATTTCAAAATTGTTGTTTCAGGATTTTTAGTTTACAGTAATTTTCGATTTCCTGAAATTCAGAATTCCAAAATTCCAGTTTTTCGCGAATTCAGAATTTCAGATTCTCTGAATTTTCGAATTTCAGATTTTCCGATTCTCTGAATTCCGAGCGAGAGAGCCTGAAAATATATAGTGATACCGTAACACCTGTATTAGAAGAGCACCCTTCAATAGAAGGGCCCCTGTAATAGAAGGGCCCTCTGGACGTACACTGGGAAAAGTATTTCCAATCTTTGGTTTCAAATTTTGTAGAATTTCGAAAATTCGGAATTTTTCAAACATTTCCCATTTTCTGATTTTTCGAATTTTCAAAATTTCTAACATTTCCAAAAGTTTGGAATTTTCGAATTTTCAGATTTCTCGAATTTTTTTTGGAATTTCAGACATTCCAAATGTTCAAGAAATCCGAAATGTTCCAAATTTCAGAATTTATCTGAAATTTCAAGATTCCAAAGTTTCGAATATTCTAAAATTACTGGGATATCAAATTTTTCGAAGTTTTGAGGAATTTCAGAATTTTCGAAAATCTCCAAATTACGGATTTCTTCAAATTTCTGAAATTTTCAAAATTCAGAGTTTTGTGAATTTCGAATATACAAATTTTAGATGTTCTGAATTTGTCCAAATTTCATTTTTTGACATTTTTCATTTTTCTGAAATTCCCATTTTCTGAATTTTTGAATTTCTTCAAATTTCAAAATTGCCCATTTTTCCTATCTGAAATTCTCAAATTTTTTTGAATTTTCGAATTTCTGAAACTTTCAAATTTTCAGATTTTCAGAATAAGGTTTCCATTTCGGTCGGGCGAAAATCGCCGACCGCCTACCGACCCAGCCGACCGATTTCGTGCCTTTTGCGTACGAAGCACTTTATTTTACGGCAAACAAGGCATTTCGTGAGTAGTTTGTCAGTAAGGCTTTCATTCGGTCGGGAAATTTAGCCGACCGACCGACCACCGACCCCGCCGACCGACAGCCGACCGAACTGACCGATCGGTCGGCGCGCCGACCGTTTTCGTGCATTTGCGCGTCAGCGTGTTTGCATACGCTGCATTGTATTTTACGACAAACTATTCACTAAAAGCCTCATTTGTCGTGTCAATAAAGCGCACTTGGCAAATTGTCTACTCCAGATCTTCACCTGCATCGATGCCACCTTCTCCTCCCCCTACCTCATTCAGCCTCTCAGCCTTGGCGCTGATATCAGTCTTCATAGTTGGTAAGAACTCTGTCTGTGTATCCGAATGTCCAGATGAATACCTTCAGCTCGAAATACATTGGAGGGCATACGGATGTGATTGCTGGAGTGGTTACTGTAGCGAACTACGATAACTGGAATAGACTGAAACTTCAGCAGCTGACTACTGGAAGTTCATTGGTGAGCCTTATTCGCTCTGATAGAAGCCAATCTTATACTTTCACTTCGAGCTCAATTATCTCGGTTCCTCCAAAAGATATCAAAATGTTGCTAACTGATAAATCATTTATCATACTATCATCAATATTTTATCAGTTGACCGATTATTGATATCTCTCTTAGGAACCGAGATAATGGCTCTAGAAATATACATTTTCAGTACCCTATGACGCTGCTCTCCTGACACGTGGCTTGAAAACTTTGGCTGCTCTGGAAATCGCAAGTATTCTCATTGGAGCGCACTTGGCATCTAAACATAATTCAAAAAAAATATTTATAGCCACTCGAGTGTCCAATTCCACACACACACACACATCCTACGCAACTTTTTCTCTAGTCCTCGCCATATGGAAAAAGGCAAATCTTCGCTTTTTTTCTCGTTTTTCACACACAAAACAATTCAAAAATTCAGTGAGAATTCCCAAGTGAGCATCTATGTTTGAGCCGCTCTCCGAGCCCCACCCGACCTTTGACTGAACATTTTTTTGTCCAAAAATTTTTGTGAAGCTAGAATTTTAATTGCGCTCTAATGCGAATTTTCGAATTCCCGCCAAGCCAAATTTTCAAAAAAAAAAAAAACATTTTTTCAGATGAAAAAATGCCGAAAACCACCACAATCGGTGACAATTAACATCATTCCAAGTGTGATTATCACACCGGCAGGTAGGTCGAAAAATTCTGAAATTTTCAAAAAAAAATTTTTTTCGAAAAATCAATTTTCTCAATTTCTCTATCTCTTTTTTTTGTTTTGCTCCACTTGAACACTCTGAGCAGCAGGTCATTGATATTTTCTGCTCTGCTCTGCGCGCAATCTTTGATGCTCGGATAGTGAGAGCAGAAAGTGTTTTTGAACGAAAACCGAATTTCTGAATTTCTGAATTTCTGAATTTCTGAAATTCTGAAATTCTGAATTTCTGAATTTCTGAATTTCTGAAATTCTGAATTTCTGAATTTCTGAATTTCTGAATTTCGGAATTTCTGAATTTCTGAATTTCCAGAATTTCTGAATTTCTGAATTTCTGAATTTCCAGAATTTCTGAATTTCTGAATTTCTGAATTTCTGAATTTCTGAATTTCCAGAATTTCTGAATTTCTGAATTTCCAGAATTTCTGAAATTCTGAATTTCTGAATTTCTGAATTTCTGAATTTCTGAATTTCTGAAATTCTGAAATTCTGAATTTCTGAATTTCTGAATTTCTGAAATTCTGAATTTCTGAATTTCTGAATTTCTGAATTTCGAAATTTCTGAATTTCTGAATTTCCAGAATTTCTGAATTTCTGAATTTCTGAATTTCCAGAATTTCTGAATTTCTGAATTTCCAGAATTTCTGAATTTCTGAATTTCTGAATTTCTGAATTTCTGAATTTCCAGAATTTCTGAATTTCTGAATTTCCAGAATTTCTGAAATTCTGAATTTCTGAATTTCTGAACTTCTGAATTTCTGAACTTCTGAATTTCTGAATTTCTGAATTTCTGAATTTCTGAATTTTTGAATTTCTGAATTTCTGAATTTCTGAATTTCTGAATTTCTGAATTTCTGAATTTCTGAATTTCTGAATTTCTGAATTTCCAGAATTTCTGAATTTCTGAATTT